CCCCAGGCTTCCTGGAATCAGCCGCTGATCAGTTTCAGCAGCAGCTGACTTGGGGACGCCTGGGTTTCTTAAGTTGAATCTGTATGTAAGTCAGAACTGGCATCCAGATTCAGCTGCGGTTGAAACTGATCAGTTTCAGCAGGCGGACGCCAGTTCCGACTTACATACAGATTCAACTTAAGAACAAACCTACAGTCCCTATCTTGTAGTAACCCGGGGACTGCCTGTAACCTGAAATAAAAGCAAGGAGTAGTCCTGCGGCACCTTAGAGAGTAACAAATATTTATAGTGTCATAAGCTTTCATGGGCAAAACCTACTTCTTCAGCAAACTCATCTGAACTGGGTTTTGCCCATTAAAGTTCATGATACTATGTATATTTTTGTTAGTAGTTCTGTGGCCCCTAGAGACCGGCGGTGTGTCTACATTGGTGCGATCTTGCACAAAAGCAGTCGCTTTTGCGCTACACTGGCTGTGAGTTCTTGCGCAAGAACACTGACGTTCTAATGTATGAAATCAGGGCTTCTTGCACAAGAACTCTGATGCTCCTGCTCAGGAATAAACCCTCTTCCGCAACTGTTCTTGTGCAAGAGGCCAGTGTAGACAGGCAACATGAATTTTTGCACAAGAAAGCCCTATGGTTAAAATGGCTATCAGCGCTTTCTTGCTGCAAGAGAGCATCTACGCTGGCATGGATGCTCTTGCACAAAAGCACATGGCAATGTAGCCGCTCTAGCTCTGGAAGTAGGAATAAGAGATCCTCCGGAAAAGGGCTTTATTCCGGAGGATTGCGCCAGTCTAGACTCTCTTTTCCGGCTTTTCCCCAAGCCGGAAAAAAAGCAGCAGCCATGTTTATTTAAATCCCGCGGGGGATATTTAAATCCCCCGCGGATTTCCCTATTCTGACTTGCCTGCTTTGCATGCCTCTTCCGGAGAAGGGGCCAGTCCAGACATAGCCTAAGTGTTTTAAAAGTTACAGACTAACATAGCTACCCTTCTGAGACATTTGAAATAGAAGATCACTTACCTATACAGGGGCAAAAAGGAATTCTTTTTCTAGAAAGCCAACTCCCAACCAGCTCTTGGGTCCTTCCTTATGTAGAACTGGAATCAGGGGCATGGGAGGGGAAAGTGATTCTCAGTAGATTAGGGATTTTAAATTAGGTTCAATGGTTCTCAGCACCCCCCCTCCCCATACAAATTATTCCAGCACACCTGCTAGCAAAAAGAGAGGCGGCAAACAATTCCTAGTGATAGGCAACAAACAGCGAATGGGGGGCTGGTTCACGCTGGGGCAGAGTCTAGCTCGCATGTTTTTTATATTTAAAACTACCCCTGAGTCTGGGACCCTGGAGGAGCCAAAGGCCATTGAAGTCGAGTACGAATCTTCATGGCCTCCAAACGGGGCTCGGATCAGGCCCCGCGCCGGGCAGGAGAGTTAAAAGTGTAATGCGAGCCCACGGGCGTGAATCTGCACCGAACGCCCCCAGCCCCCTTTTCCCCCCGCGACCACGTGCCGAGCGGTGCGGGATCGGGGCCGCAGCGGACCCTGGAGGAGCCAAAGGCCATTGAAGTCGAGTACGAATCTTCATGGCCTCCAAACGGGGCTCGGATCAGGCCCCGCGCCGGGCAGGAGAGTTAAAAGTGTAATGCGAGCCCACGGGCGTGAATCTGCACCGAACGCCCCCAGCCCCCTTTTCCCCCCGCGACCACGTGCCGAGCGGTGCGGGATCGGGGCCGCAGCGCTCCTAGGGCAGTGACGTCACCACTCCCCCGCCCCGGGCGTTCTTTCTCTTCCCCCGCCCCGCCCCGCCCCGCCCCCAGCGCGGCACGTTTGGGCCCTGCGGCGTGCCGTCGGCGGCGTGACGTGCGCGCCCTGGGCTCCCCATTGGCGGATTCAA